GGCTGCCAGGCCTGTCATAGCACATGCTCAGATTGGGAGGTCAACGGGGCGGGGAGAAAAATCCCAAAACCTCAGAGAGAGCTGTTAGTTTCATAAAAGTGTATTTCCTTTGCATGTATTTGTGTGTGATAAATCAATTTGTTCATGTTTCCTTCACCTTTATGAAATATTTACTTTGCTGAGTCAGGACAGGAAGCACAGTCTCTGCTTTCAATTTGTGTCTGTGAGCACAAATGGTGTCATGAACAGAGGTATGAAAAATACTTCTTTGTTTGTAGAATTGTGAGACTTTTTGTTTTACACCATTCCTTTTGATCTTTAATTATCAATCATCTCCTTAATGGAGTTTAGACACCAAACCAGTGATTTCTGATAATTCATTAAAGAGCAAGTCACCCCCAAATAAACTTTTTTTTGCTGATAAACTAAATAAACGAGTGTCTAATCGTGCTGCAGACACGTGTCGTCAATAATTTGGCACTTCAGTGCATCTTAGTTAAATTTAAATATTCTGCGTAAAACTGGCAGTGTTGTGCCGTTGTCAGGTAAAAACTCTGCACTGTATTTTAATTTAAATCTGCCACCGCTATTGGCTAAGAAGTATGCTATGATGTAAACTGGTACATTATGATGTCACAATGCTGTCGTGAGCCTGAGTGTGTGTGTATTTGTTAGCGGCTCCGCCCCCTCGGTCTGCCAGGCAACAGCATTTGTTGCATTTTTCAAACATGAAGTGGGAGTGGAGTTAGACTCTGGTAGGGGTTGACTTGCTCTTTAAATCCCCAAATTGTGTTCTGTTCAGTCATTAGAATAGAATAGAATAGAATAGAATAGAATAGAATAGAATAGAATAGAATAGAAAACTGGAATTGTTCTGCACAACAAAATTATTTATGGCATACTAATAAAAAAGCTTGAGTGTGTTGCTTAAATTCAAATCTAATATTACACAATTGACAAAAAAAACAACAGCAAAGTAGTAAGTAATAAAACCATTAAAGTGTTTATAATCAGGGAATGTTTTGGAGAGTGACTTATTTAGAGACAGAAGGTAGCGGAGTTCTTTCAGATCAACCTCACTCATGCACCTTTCATTATCAGTCCTATAATAAAGGTGTCATCTGCATATCTGATGGTGTTGTCAATATGATTAGGTGTGCAGTCATTGGTGAAGATGGAATAGAAAAGTGGATTCAGGATGCATCCTGGGAATTTTCTGAGAATGGGTCCCTCTTCATTTTGAGGAAATTTCCTTTAACTGTGTCAACTTTTAATTTAGAGATACCTTATGGGTCAGATTTAGGCTTCAGGCTCATCTTGGTAAATGAGCTTTTGGTAAAAAAAAAATAAAAAATGGAAAGAAAAACCAACTTCTGGTTTCTTACTGGTTGGTCAAGATGTTTCTGATTTGCAACAAGCTGCCAAATGTAAAACCCACGAGAATCTAAAAAATACATCACAGCTTTTATGTCTAACTTTTCTATGCATTTTACAAACAGGCAATTTGCTGCTGTTAGTTTATAAATCACAACACGTACTCCTATTTGTCACTAATGTATTCCACACACAGGCCTTCATAGACCACAAGTGAAGTTGAGACTTTGATTCAAACTTTAAATTTGATACAATTTAGGTTTACCGTAATTTCCGGCCTACAAGCCGCTATTATGTCCCTGTGCTTTGAAGCCTGCGGCCAATATCATGGCGCGGCTCATGTGTAGATTTTTGTTGGCCAACAACCACTAGAGGCACTCTCCAGCAGTAAAGTGAGACAGGCATGGCAAAACGTTATGCGCGGAAGAAGACGCTCTGCGATCTAAATCGGCACGTTTACACATCAGACACACCTTCGTCATGGAGAACACGCGGAGGCATATGCTGCATCTTTCAAGTTAAAAGCGATCAAGCTGGCCATCAAACAAGGAAACAGAGCCACTGCACGGGAGCTTGGCATAAATGAATCAATGGTGCGACGTTGGAGGCGGCAGCGGGAAGAACTCAGTCAAGGTAAAAAAACAGCTTTCAGAGGAAATAAAAGCAGATGGCCGGAATTGGAAAGCATTCTTGAAGACTGGGTGAACACACGAAGAGCAGACGGCCGAGGTGTTTCCACTGTGCAGATCATTACTAACAGACATGTTTTGTGTGCAGTTTTTATTTTCTAATCATCCGGGGCTTATTAATGCTGTGTCAGCGCTGTTCTTTTCTTCGAAACATTCTCTTTCTGGAGTATTTATCGTATTTGATAGCACCATCTAGTGGCTGACAACCATATCACACAAAAAGTCTGTTGCTCTGTTGTTTTAAGATGACGACTTCACATTTCTTGTTTGTAAATGTGATTCTGTAGCTTACAAACAGAGCTAAAACACACTGTTTTACAAGTATTATTCTCATGTCGAGCTGTGTTTTCATATATTTATATTTTAAAGAGATCAACTCTGCATCAGCCGAGGTATTCCTTAAATTTGAAGCATCTAAGCGGTAGTCTAACTCTATTGGTTAGTTCTGGTTGGTGTTCAGTTTCCTATTGTATGGAGCTCTGTGGGGCAGGGGGCGTGTTTAGCAAATATTAATTAATTAATTAATTAAAAGACATATTGCTTACATCTATATATCACAGTACATGATAAGATAATCACTTGTATGAATTTCTGTAAAAACATACATCATTTCTGAAAGTAGAAAGCTCCGGAAAGCTACTTTAACTATGAATGCAGCTAAATTCTCACCCAAACTTTGTAAGTTTATCTCCACATTTTGTTTGCATGTGCAGGTCTATGAAGTGCAGCCCAAGGATCGCACGTGTGCAAATGCGTAATCATGCAACATGCACCTGTTTTGGACAACTTGGAAAAATGACGTCACATCACATCACATCTACCATTTAATTTTTATTTAAATTTAGCTTTAAAGTAAAAAATTTTAATTTCAAATGAGCACTTGTACCAAATTTGTTACGTTTTTTTTTTTTTAATATTCATATAAACATCTTTTGGAGTGAAGAGCTAACATTTAGATCCTTTTGGAAACCATTATTTTTTTCTATGAAGAGTTTTAATGTTGTGAATTTTGATCATAAATTGTGTACACTTAGGCTACACATGCTCAAAAACTCACATCTAAACTCATTCATCATCCACCCTTCAGGCCATCTATTCAACATTATAACTCGGGCTGTTTTTGTAACAAAACAAGCTCTAATCCTAAATTCAGGGAGCTGTGAATGTGCCTCAACAAATGGCTGACAAATGAGAAGGATTAGCAAGGGCCAGTGAAAGAGTGAAAGGTTTGCCATTGATCTACGGTGGTCCTGTTCTCTTTCAGGGCCACTCGGTTTGAAAACCCCACTGAGTAAGAGCATACAGGGCCACTCCAGAGCCCCCTAGGCCACCGAGATACACACAACAGCCACAATTAGTCTCAGGAGCTGTAATGGCAATTCAATAAGCGCTTTAAAATTGTGCCTTAGTCTGTCTGCCACCACCCCACCCTCACCCCCGAGCCCTCCGATCCCTTCCATTTTCGTCTACATACATAAGATTGGTATTATGAGTGGCGAGGGGCTCTTTTTATTCTTTCCCACCCACCACAGTTCTTTTCAGATGCTGAGAGAGAAAATGACCACACAGGGTTTCAAAGGTTTCAGAGGCTACGGTTTGTTGTTGCTGAAGCAGCATGACTTGTGCCCCTGTAGGTTTTGGCTGAAACCCTCAAAATGGGCTTTTATTATAACTTTTTTCTGTCACTCAGCTGCAAATTAAGGTTAAAATATTCAAAGTATCCTTTTCCTCAATTTTTTAGTTGTTGTTATACGTCATTGTTCACATGGAGTCTCCAAGGATGTCAGAATAATGGGCATTTAATAATTTCCTGAGTTTATCAGTCATTTTCCTTGAAGACTGTAATCCTTTTCAATGTCAGTGAAACATCAACATCCTGCCGTGCAGATTAGCAGGTGACAAACAAATGCGTGATCTGCACTAAGGTAGCCATAAACACCTGTGCTACTGATGTAAACACGTCACAAGACAAGTTTTCCTCTTGGTTGTCTTCCATGCTCACCTGAGCTCAGCTCTTTTAGACATTCCTCATCATCAGTACTTAGGGTTTTCTTATGCTTCCTGATCAAAAGCTAAATCTTTTGATGAGACCCTTCAAGTGATCCCTTTTTTCTGGAGAATACACTGCCAGGACAGTGGCAGAGCAATGGTAATTACTGTTCCTGGATCTGGCACCAGCAGCCAGTCGCGCCCTCAGAGAAAGGAGAAAGGAGGAGAAAGGATTCTTGGACAGTTTAAAAAGAAGAAGGATGCGAGATGGAAGGCACTGACAAAGCGGGGGCAAATCAAGAGAACCGGCAGAAAATGAGATTACCTCATAGCTTGCAAGATTAGCTGTCTGCGCTATTGGTCAAAGTGGTCATATGCTCAAAAAATAAAGTTGTGCATTCTTACAATAATAATCAGAATTTTAGCAGGTGCAGAATGAAAAAAGCTGGACGTGTCACACGAGCAGCATGGAGGACATGCTTTGTTCATTCTTTAGAGGAGCGGTTCATCATTCATGCGGTCACAATGTGGTCAGACTTTGGAAAGCCGGGACCTATCTCCTCCTTCTACCGTAGGAAAATTAAAAAATTCTGGAGTCAAGCACACAGATGCTAGTTTGATTTCACATGCATGTTTTAATGCTTTGAAATCAAAATCTGTTTAGACTGTGCCTAACCATCCCTGGCTTTAGCTACTATGCTTGAATCAGCTTCCTTATGACCGCAAATGTGCCCCAACTCCATCCATCCATCCATCCATCCATCCATTCTCTTTATGTTTATGTATTTAGCAGACGCTTTTGTCCAAAGCGACTTACAAGTGATAATCGGCATGTTGCCCTTGAGGCTAACAACAACAATAACAACGACTTGACATCAATCAATCTCGCTTGGCTAGGGTCACGGGGATCCGGTGCCTATCTCCAGCAGTCTCCAGGCAAACAGGCGGGGTACGCCCTGGACAGCTCATCACAGGGCAACACAGAGACACACAGGACAAACAATCATGCACACACACACACCTAAGGACAATTTAGAAAGACCAGTTACCCAACAGTCATGTTTTTGAACTGTGGGAGGAAGCCGGAGTACCCGCAGAGAACCCACGCATGCACAGAGAGAACATGCAAACTCCTTGCAGAAAGACCCGAGGCTGGCATCTGAACCCAGGACCCCCTTGCTGCAAGGCAACAGCACTAACCACTGCACCACTGTGCAGCCCACCCCGACTGCCTTTAAAATAAATAAAATAAATAAAAATTTTCACACAGTCTAAACTGATGTTAGTTTGTAAAGGATATTTTTACTGGCTAGTGTTCATATTGATTACCCACAAAAACCAACTAAATACTTTATGGGTTTATTACAGAGATTCCATCTAAAATAAATTTGCCATAAGTGGTTAAACCTCTATTTTAATTAAACAGAAGACAGTAGATGTTTTTACCTGCCATTTAGATTAAACCTGTAGTGAGCGATGAACAGAGAAATAAATCTTAATTCCACAAGAGGATTACAGTGATAAGGATGAAGATGTCAAAGTGGCAACAGCAGAGACACCTTAATAATATGCCTGTGCTGCTCTGTGACCTCTGTAGCTACTGTGCCTCTGTGACATGTACCCGGTCACAGTCTCCTCACATTATGACAGGCTGAAAGGTTGTCCTTTATTCACCCCGAGCATCCACTATTCATCCTCCACTCTCCTTTCTGTTGGCTGAAAAGGCCCAGTGGCCTCCTGTGTCACTGGAGAGCTCGTCTGTGTGTAAATGATGTTGATGGGCAGTCGCATCGTTCATAAGCGCAGATCTTTCAGCAGACAGGAGGTCCTTAACATCAGCTCTTCTCCTGCTGGGAGTTTGGTCACGATTATGATGAGGAGAGGAGATTATTGTCAGAGCGCTCCAACAGAGACGTTACAAATGTTTAACAGTGAGATCCAAAGACAGAGGATGATAAACACTGGCATGCTGCACCCTCTTGACTGCTAAAAATAACTGAAGTTGATGAGTCATGAATTATCCACATTTTATTGAGGTTTATCAAACTCACCATGAACCAAGGCACTCAAATGACTTCGCTGGAAGGGATTTAAAGGCTGCTTTCTCAGAATGTGGCCTCATAAACAGCCAGACCATTAACTTAAAGCTGGAGGTCATGAATGGATCACATTTGTACCAATATCCAGTAATAATACCATACAGTTTGTGCTGGTTACAAATGCCAATACGGCTATTATTTTTATTCCCTACAATTCAACAGAAACATTATCAATAACATACATGTCAACTTCACACAGTTAAAGAGTAAAAATTGTGTTAAATATATTAAATGTTCTATTAGCAACTGCTGCATTGTCTAATGTTAGCATGTGTCGACAGAGAGGCTGCACACGTTAAAGAGACAATGTGTAGTTTTTATGGTTAATCTCTGGGATTATCCATTGGAACGTTGCTGAAAATGAACGAAATGAATTTCCAGTTGTTGGAAAATATTGGCGGGTTTGTAACATATAACCATAAAAGTCGGGTCTAAAATACACAGGAGCGGGTCTAAGTCTCTGGGTGAGGCCATAAGTTGCCATGTTTCCTTCTAAGAGAACCTGTGAGGACAAAATTAAACTGTTACGAAACGTTTGCCATTCATGAATGTTGTTTTACACATTAACCTCTTCACTTAGTGCCAGTGATGAAAGGGTGCTTGAAATTTTGCTGAAGGTTAAGCTTCAAGGGAATTTTAACCCTAATGGCCACCCGTTGATAAGGTCTTACAAATACCGCTTGCTTGCAATGATTTAGGTGTGTACTGCCCCTTATCGCCAGGGAAAATACACATTGTCACTTAAAACTGGTTAAACTAATCTGTACAAAATGAATGGAGCTGCTGATGTCTGAGGTCCTACTGTTGCTATGAAAGTATTAAAATGACTACAAATGCAAATCAGATTAGATCCAACAGGTGTCTCCTGGAACTGGTTTCTAACCTATCATCCTTAAAATGTAGACAGACATGCTGGATGGAAGTATCTGTGAAAATCCAGACATCATTTTCTGGTGAAAAAAACATATTTCTGCTGTGTTTAAACAAAAGAAAATATCTTCTGTGTGTTTGAGATGATACAAGTTTATGTTATAATGGTTCAGTTCAGCTTTTTTTGGTTCAATATGTCCACTGTAACTTGGAAAATGTTTCTCTTTTAGCAGGGCCTTTTGAAGGGAAGAGAGAGATTATTTGAAGTATGTTTCAACATTTAATAAAAAGCTCTCCTATTTGGAGAATCAAGAAGAAACTTTCATAGCAAGCAAGCTCCTTCCGTGCGTTTAGGACGGAAGTTCTGCCTTGGCAAATGTCTCAGACTCAAATAAAATCAAGTTCTTTGTTGTAGAGTTTTGCACGGAATTATTTTTTGCATTAGATGATTATTTATACTGACAACTGTCTGTGTGGGAACCAAAAAGATCTGTTTCCTGAAAAGCTGATTTACTTAATTCTTTATAACTTATGCAATTGTAATTTATTTTGTTTTATGTTTTTAATCGTGTGAGATGGAGATACTTCTCTGGGCATTTTCCTCAAAACCTTTAATTTCATGGTTGAAAAGTGGCATTTGCCTTAGATAAAATGAGAAATTGTTTTTGTAGGTTTGAACAACAAACCAATTGATTGCAAAATCCCCTCAAAACATTTAAAAATGTTCATGAGGGACTTGTAATCGTGCCATATGCCAAACAGGACTTGTTGAAAATTAGAGCCATATGTACCAAATCTGTGTTTCCAACTGGAAATTTACATATTTTCTTTCTTTTGTGTCTGCAAATAGTTGCCAACACCCAATTCTAGTGAAATGCTGGCTTCAGTCAACCCGGAAACTGACTAGTGTAGCATGTTCTTTGCTGCCTTTAAATCTTATTACCCCGGGTTTCCACGGGAACCGTCAGCAGCACGTTACTGCAGCAGCACGTCTTGCTCGCGTAAACTGCTGCTTGGCCCTTCCCACGAGACGCGAAGCAGCAGGGGAGCAGCTGTCACCGACCGAGCACGAAGTCACACGAGTGACTTCGTCAGTAAACACAACAACAAGCAGGAGAAAACTACAACATGGTTTGTGTTTTATGTTCTGTCCGTTTGATAATCGCCAATACGGACCTGAAAAACAAAGGAGACCGCTAGCTAGGTGATAACTTCTCACGTGGACGCACAGTTAGTAACATTTTTTAAAAGTAAAGCAACCGGAAGGCAGCACGTTCTTTATTCTGAAAATCTCTGTAGCTTCTCTCCATTTCCGCGTCCGATTTCCTGTCTTTCCTTCCCCAAAAATGTCGAACTTGACCCGTTTCAGAGGCGTCGCGCGTAGGAAATAGAACCGGCGCGTAAAGGCAACGACATGCTGCTCCTGAGACGCGGCCGACTCGCGCTGCTGACGGCTCCGGTGGAAAAGGTTCTGTTGACCACAGCGGTTCCTATCAGCAGCTATGACGTGCTGCTGCAGTAACGTGCTGCTGACGGCTCCTGTGGAAAGCCGGGGTTAGAGTTGCTCAGATGTGACTCATGTCCTCAGCCGTAGTTTCCCTCAGAGCCGGAGCTATTTGAAAGCAGCAGGGGCGTGTCCAGGGAGTGGCCTAGGTTAGCACATGCCACCCTTGGAATCTGATTGGCCACCTCAGGTGCCAACACACTAATTTACCTTTAAATAGGATTTTTTATTGTCCACAAAAGGCTTGGGGGTAAAACAAAAAAAGCATAACCATTGGTGCCACCCATGCACAAAGTTGTGCCTCACCTGGGCCACCCCATTTTAAAAGATCTGGACACGCCACTGGAAAGCAGTTGTTTTCTTTTTTGTACTATTTTCTTTTGTTGTTCAGGAATGAATCAGTGAATTTCCTTTGATTGTTTCCAAGTCTCTTTGTTCTCTTTTGGCCTTCTAATGTCATTCCAACACAAAGGGGTGAAAACTGACCTGACGAGTGCACATGCGAACATTATAGCAGGGGTATTTAATTCCGGGACTGGAGGGTCAGTATCAGCATGCTTTAGTTTTAACTCTGTTTTAACACACCTGATTTCAATCAGCAGGTAATTGACAGGCGTCTGCAGAGCCTGATGAGTTGCTGCACAGGTGATTCAACCACTGAATCAGGTGTGTTGAATCAGAGAAACCACTCAAATGTGCTGGGTACTGGCCCTCCAGGCCTGGAATTGATTACCCCTCCTTTATAGCTTCACTGTTTTGGGCAGCAATGCATTATATTAACATCATCAAACAAAGCAGAAAATAACTTAAAAGTAGACAATAATCTAACTCTAAAATGTTACAGACCTCAGCAAATGTACATTTATCTGACAGTAGGATGGATAAATAAAAGCCAAAAATCAAAACGATTGTTGTCCCAACTAGATCAGCACTATTGTGATGAGGCAGGAGGACCAAGCAGCTGCCAGTTACAGTTCAGACTTGGGCACCTAGGAGGGAAGCATGGGCAGGAAGTGAGTAGATGGGTGCCTTCGTCTGGCCTTGTGACCTCGCCGAGGTTTCCCGCGTCCGTTCAGTGACACGAACATCTGTCTGCCGCCGTGTTTCCAGCGAAGTGAGGCGTACGTGTTGTAGCCGTTTTCCTCAATGCGCTCTTTGAACTTGCAGCTTGGGCTGTACTTCACCTGCAGTCGTGGGTAGGAAGAAGAAGAAGAAATGTCAAGAAGGCTCCCAAACAAAGTGTTTTTCCTGCTGGGCTGTAAAAAAGTAAGTTCACAAAGGTTAATGTCTGTTGTTGCAGCAAAAGGTTTTCCAGGTGCTTGCAGCTGTTACTGCACGGTTCAGATTCTTTCTCAGCTCATGGAAATTAAATTCGAAATGGTGTCTCACCCTTGGTTGTATTACAGATGTTTCAGTAAATATTCACAACTGTAATTTCTACTCCCATCAGCCTGGCATGCTTTATGTCAAAAGAGAGCAAAACATCTTTCTATTCCAGAAACAATGTTCTGGTTCCTCAACAGAGACTTTACAATGAAGCTTTCATTGGAACGGGTCTATAAAACCTAATCTGTGACTGACCTTTTTATTGGAAGGACATGTTTTTTTATTTAACCCAGCTAAGCCTCTTTTATATGGATACTTACAGCCTCTTATGAGACATTCACAAAGTCTTGCCGGATATTGTGGTGTTTTGTTCCAGATCGTTATCATGCAGCCACGACAAGATCTTTTCTGTGGTAGCACCTAGATGGTTTGAGCCTTCCATGATTCTCTTGGCATTTGATTTTTATGTAACTTAGGTGAATCCTCAGATCTTATTTATAGATGCTTTTATGCACTGGGTGCTCTTCTTCCTCTTATCAGCACTTACTGATTGCTCGTCTCTGAAGTACTGTAAGTACTTGAACTAGACACCACACGTCTGATGTGTGTCTGACTCTAACAAAGAGAGGTGATTACTTTGGAAAGCTTGCTTCACAAAACAACAATTAGCAGATGGCACGCAAGGCCTAAAGGAGCCCAGCTGGCTCTTTCTTTGTTGATTTTTTTTTTCTGTTATCTACGTTGACAGTGTTACAAGCCAGCTCAGGCTGCAGGTATAGCTATTTGCAGCCCAGGTGTACAGCTGTGATTGATAGCAGTGCTTTGACCTCATTCTGGACTTTTCAGCAGAGAATTTCACCTCAGCTTTACATATTCCCCTCTCCCACTCTGCCCTTCTCATCTTTCAGAGTCCTGGCCCTCAGAGACGTTGTTGGTTGTGTACGCACCGATCCAAAGAGTGTGCCTTTCTTGGACATAGCTAGGTACAGCCCGTTACTGACAGATTTGATGGCGACAACTCCCACGCTGACAGATCGGATTTCCATCAAGCCTGCAAATAAAGAGACAAGAGTTAGAGGCATTAAATGCAGCCAGATTTAAGATCAAAGGTGATTAATGATTAGGATACCAGACAGGCATATTCCACAGGGACAAGACCAAGGCCCTGTCCAAACGTAGATATTTTTCTACGTTTTGGCCTGTCATCCACACGAAAACGTAGTTTTTCACACGAAAACGGATCTTTTTAAAAACTCCGGCCAAAGTGAAGATCTGCGTTTTCTCCGTTTTGGGTGTCTGCGTGTGGACAGACAAAACCGGAGTTTTAAGGTCCGCAACGTCACTTTCCGCGACAAAAAAATGCTGACATCACGTGTGCGACCTGTGTTTACACTAGCCGACAGCATGGATGCCCTCAGAGCTGCGCTCGCTTTATCAATTGTCCAAGCGCTTTTTGCTTGTTTGTTTTTGCAAGCGGAATTACTGCTCCTTGTGGAAGACCACAGACGAAGGACGAGGTTAAGAACGGGGGAAGTACTGCCGCCTACAGGTCTGGCATGTCCTTAACAACGTATTTATCCGGGTACGTGTGGACAGAGTTTTTTTTTTAAAGCGGTGGTGTGGATGCACGTTTTTGGAGGGGCGGATATTCGTTTTTAAAAAACCCGGCTACGTGTGGACTAGGCCCAAGACTGAAGATAATCATTGCACAAGTGCACCATGTACACAACGTCGAACATACATCATACGTCACATTCAACTTCAGACACCATTTTATCATAGCTGAAATGGTTTAAAATTAGCCAAATTAGATGCTTTAAAAAGAGTAAGATTTGTGGCACCCCCCCCCCCCCCCCCACACACACACACACACACACACACAACCCACACACACTGTGTGAACCTGCACATCCTATGTCTGCTTTCCATGCTTCCATAAAACCATCCCTACTCCAGATGTGACACTTCATCCTGATGGCACCAAGCGGTGTTTACTAAATCACATGAAGCCGGCGTCTGCTCACCACCTAAGTGGCCTCTCCGAACCACTTAACGCCACGGAAAAGCTGGCAAGATAATCGTTTCCTCTGAACACTGACTGCAAACAAGTCCCGTGTGGTGTTCTTGATCTGCGTTTTGTCTGCATACAGAAATCAGGGAATAAAGGCACACACACCCTTTGCCCGTTGATGCAACAGGAAGACATTTGAGAGATGATCTGCAGGTGTATTGCAGGGCCCTGAATAGGAGCTAATTGCAGGAGATAAAAACATTCTTTGGATACCATTTTTCTACCTTCTGCTGGCCACTTAAACCCTGAGTGGCACCTTGATGTGGTTGTCTCTCTGATCTGTTTGAAACCTTTTTTCTTTTCGACAATCATGATGGTTTATTGGAAAGAAACTGCTAAACGCATTGTTGCAATTTTTGGATCAACACACACAAGGGCGTCAGTTTGTTTTCAGAATTGCTGGGGACAATAACCATACACTTGAGTGGGGTTTAAAAATTGCTGGGGACAATAAAGTAGGCTAGCACAGGGGTCGGCTGGAGCCGCATGCGGCTCTTCCATCCATCTGATGCGGCTCTCTGTGCTTGTAAAATAATGAATGGATATTTAAATAAAAAGCTTTATATTTTACTGCATTAATTTTACATCTGTAAGCTAATTCTAAATGTAAAGATTGTCTGCGTAAACCTGAACAGTTCGAACCCGGATCTTACTGTGAGACCGGGTTGACGCGTCACGCTTGTGCGTAATCATATCGGCGCTTCTGAGCTGCTGTCTGACCTCCCCCACCTACAAAGTTTAATTACACCAATCAAACGTGACAGAGCCTGGATTTGTATTCTGAACAGTCTAAACATGTTTTAAAAAGAAACGTATGACAAAAGTGGCACCTGCTCAGTAAAACCATCAACAGGGTGAAAAATACCAAAAATTGAAGGCAGAGACGGGCTACAACTTCTGGATCCATTTTATATAAATCGTTTTATTGATTATCGTCTAATGAAAGATAATTAAGACGTACATGAGCGATCAGGCGCGTTGCAAGCTTTTCAAAAGTGTGGGGGATGTTGTCTGTACCTAAAATAATTTCATGTTATTCATCTTGTTAGTTTAATTTCCATAATAGCGGAGCAGGTGCGAATTTTAGATGCGTCACACATGTCTCCGTTTTAAACATGTTTAAACTGTTCAGAATACAAATCCAGGCTCTGTCTCGTTAGATTGGTGTAACTAAAGTTTGTACTGAATGAAACTTTACATTAAACCATGTTGAAAAGTAAAGGATCCGATTAAATCGTTTCCCCCTCATTTACAGTCACGAAGTACAGTGCAGTGCACGTGGCTCTGGGGTTAATCAAGTTTAATTGTAACATTAATGTGTTACTGGACATGCTGGTCTGGTTGATTAGACCAGTGTTTGAAGTGGAAAACACACACACACACACACACACACACACACACACACACACACACACACCAATTAAAATAATGCTGATAGCGTGGACTAGAAGACAGGTGATGGTTTACGTATTTAAATGATGATCAGGCTGCTGTAAAATGTAATCTCCATCCACATCCAGACACAATCATCCTCTATTCTTTCTCTAGTTGCTCTGCTCTTGTCTGCGCTGACGTAGCTGATGGTGCGCGCGGCACGCCAACTAGCAGCTGATGCACATTTTACGCATTTGGAGAGGTGGGCTGGATGCTTTGCGTTTACTGGAAGATGGTTAACGCACGGGTGTAGACTACATATTAATGACAAATGAATGAAAATTAAATTGTGAGTTTTTACTTCATATTTTAGAAATAAAAATGACGGGGGAAAACATTTATGACGTCTTTTTAAACTAAATTTTCTAGCGCGACCTGCCTGCTTCACTAAGTCACTGCTTATTAAGGTCCGTCCAAAATTACTGTTGCCCACCCAAAAATGAAAACCTGGCGCCGCGCCAGTTATAAACCTCTGCAAATGGTTGTTCTTCACTTTATCAAACTCAGACTTTGTACAGCTAATGTCAAGATGTAAAATTATGAATTCAGTCGAGCTCTTCCGTCCCTCCCTCTCCTGCTCTCCTGGAAACCCGACATCGGCTGGGAGGTGAAGAAGGAGATGAGGCAAACAGAGTGAGTGCAACGTAAAGAAACCAGACTGGTGTGGAGGTGAGCAAAACAGCTGGAAAAGTGCGGGTGTTGAATCCCCCACGGGTGCGATGCCCCCGGCTGCTGTCACCTGTTGTGAGCAGCTCTCTGCTGTCTGAGGGTAGGCCCCGCCCGCAACGCTGCGGCTGCTGCGGTGTTTTCTTTACCGTGGGAAACGGGTAATAATGGCTCTTTGATGGGAACAGGTTACCGACCCCTGGTATAAGATCTGAGCTGGTAAAACAAAAATCCTCATCAGCAGGCTTTTTTGAAAGTGGGGGGGACACAGCTGAGGATCACGAATTTTGCCGGGGACATGTCCCCGGCGTCCCCGGTTAAAATGACGCCTATGAACACACAAGTTCACGGAGATGAAGAAGAACCACATGACTGAATCTTGGTGAGACGCTGAATGGACCAATTAATGGTAGATGCTCACACTGGGATCTTTGTCATAAACTGAATTTAATTGATGAGCTCTGATCAGTGGTACAAGTCTAGTTTTGTTGGAGAACATCAAACACCCAAGTAAAAATTTTTTTCTAGGGTATCAGCTAATGATGACCTTCTTAAAGATGTAATTTTTAGATGAGGTTAATCTGTTGTCAAATCTTTTTCTCTGGTCATGCTTATGATATGAGGTCTTCTACTTTAGCTGCCCACAAGAAAATACAAAGAGCAGAGAGAGAAGAAAAAAGTGTCAGGTAAATACACTCAAATGCTTGTTGAGCATATTTCGTCTTTTGACAGGAATGTGTAAATGATGCCGTATCCTGGCTTAGGCACAGCTGTGGGGAAGGTGGGAATGCCTTGGTTTTCCAGGTCCAGGTATCAGCCCAGCTGCACCCCCATCATTCCTCCGCTGCCTCTGATCCTCCAAGGAAACATTAACACTTTGAAGGCTGCCTCCCTTTTTTACGAGCTGTGTTTACAAACACCGGGTGTGCTCTGTTGGCACCTGGAGTGTGCAAAGGACTCGTGAGCAATTAGTTAAGGCTCGGTTGGTGATTGTAGCGCTGCAAGGGTTTATGGGGGATTAGTCTGGGCCAATGAAAATCGCTGGAGCCTGAAAGTGGTGCCAACAGTAATTGCCACCATTTGCTGTTTTGAGTTCCAGGACGTGAAGGAGTTTATCACAGCTGGGACACTGAAGAAAGAAAATCTGTGAGTAAATAGTCACATTTGGACATTTTTTCAGCTGTCTTTTGTGTTCCAAACATAAGATTACAAAACAAACCTACTTTTGTTGTTTAACTGTGATGCTTTTACAGTTTTTTTTCTGACAGCAGCTGAAAAGACTTACAGAACATTCAAGTAAAACCTGTTTTTGTTGCAGTTAGACAACAAGAACAATCTGAAGATGTTCAACGAGGCCTACAGTAATTTCTTGTGCTTTGGATGCTTAATCACACAGACACAAACATCACATAAAGCCGTTCTATTAAAAACTATAACAGAACCTTTTTTGAAAGGGATTTTTCCAATAGTTTTGGTTCTAAAATGTATGATTTACCATGAAGTTATTTTTAGATCAGTACAAAAACACGTTCTACTCTGAAAATATTACAACATTTATTAGAACCTGTTTGAAATCTACAAATAAAGTTGTTGTGACTGTATTCAATGTTGGACCTAATAAAAAGACAATTCAAATCAGCTGTTGTGGTGAATCTGTAAACAAGCTAGGTTTTGAATGCGAACACGGTCACAGAACACTTACCCCTCCCCTAGTGTATCTTCCCTGAGTCGCTTCTACCAGAACCAGAAACCCACATTGTCAGAGGAAACAAGATGGTGCAAAACACCAGTGGCCACATCTCTTGTTGATTTCAGATGGTGTTTTTCTTTTTGGGACTCTGGTGGTGTGTCCTAAAGTTGATGTGGTTGCAGCCAGCTGT